GGGGCCGGGGCCCCGTGGAGTGTCCTCCTTTTGGAGGCTTAAAATATGGTAACCCTAATTTACGTGCCAGATATACTAAACATTTGTATGCCCCTTTATGCTTCAACCACCATTCCAGAGAACATGCGTCCATACTGATGATGGGTTCTGCTTGATAATGATCCAAAGCAGAACGGACCGACACATGTTCATTTTCATCATCTGAGTCAGATGCCACCAGCAGAAGGTTGATTTTTTTTTTTTTTTTGTGTGGTGGTAGTGGTTCAGGTTCTGTAGTTTCCACATCTGAGTGTTGCTCTTTTAAGACTTCTGAAAGCATGCTCCACACCTCGTCCCCCTCCGATTTTGGATGGCACTTCAGATTCTTAAAACTGGGGTCGAGTGCTGTAGCTATTTTTAGAAATCTCACATTGGTACCTTCTTTGCGTTTTGTCAAATCTGCTGTGAAAATGTTCTTAAAATGTGCTGGGTCATCATCCGAGACTGCTTGAACATAAAATATATGGCAGAATGTGGGTAAAACAGAACAGGAGACATACAATTCTCCCCCAAAGCGTTCAGTCACAAATTTAATTAATGCGTTATTTTCTTTAACGACCATCATCAGCATGGAAGCATGTCCTCTGGAATAGTGGCCAAAGCATGAAGGGGCATATGAATGTTTAGTATATCTGACACGTAAATACCTTGCAACACCGGCTACAAAAGTGCCATGCGAACGCCTGTTCTCAATTTCAGGTGACATTGTAAATAAAAAGCAGGCAGCAGTATCTCCCGTAAATGTAAACAAACTTACTTGTCTGAGTGATTGGCTGAACAAGAAGTAGGACTGAGTGGACTTGTAGGCTGTAAAGTTTTACATTGTTTTGTTTTTGAGTGCAGTTATGTAACAAAAAAATCTACATTTGTAAGTTACACTTTCACGATAAAAAGTTTGCACTACAGTACTTATATGAGGTGAATTGAAAAATACTATTTCTTTTGTTCATCATTTTTACAGTGTAAATATTTGTAATAAAAAAGAATATAAAGTGAGCACTGTACACTTGCCAGAACTGGGTGAGTCAAGGAGGGCATAGGCGCCGACTCTGTGGGAGCTCCGGGGCTCAAGCACCCACCAAAAAAAATAGGGGGTGTTCGGCACCCACAGGGCCAGATTAATCTTTTGTGGGCCCCAGCACCTGGACCATGGCCCTACCCGCCACCCCCACTCTGCTTGCACTCCGCCCCAAGGCCCTGCCCCCGCTTGGCCTCTTCCCCTCTGAGGCTGTGCCTGCTGCTCGCGCCCCCTGTCAAAAACAGAAGTCCGTGCCTGTGAAGGAGAGTTCAGGGTCTGGAGGGGGTGGGCCTAAAAGGGAGGGGTGTTGGGAGCAGGAAGGGGTAGTTTTCTGCTATACCATTATATGCTGGGGGTTGGTCGGGAAAGAGGAGGAAAAGGTGGAGGAGAAAGAGGATTGGGGGGGGGGGGAACAACAAACTGAAATTTTTCATCTTTTCTCTGAAAAACCACCAAATTTTAAAACAAAATTCTGTGGAAATTTGTTTTTGAAACAAGACCATTTTTGTTCAAAAAAGTGAAAATTGCAACCTGTTTTAGTTATCAATGTTATGTTAAATCCAAAATGACTGTTAGTGCACACAGTATGGGTTAGAGCAGTGGTTCTCAAACTTTTGTATTGGTGATCCCTTTCACACAGCAAGCCTCTGAGTGCGACCCCTCCCATTAATTAAAAAACACTTTTTTTTTTTATATTTAACATCTTTATAAATGCTGGAGGCGAAGCAGGGTTTGGGGGGTGGAGGCTGACAGCTCGTGACTCCCCACTTAAAAACCTCGTGACCCTCTGAGGGGTCATGACCCCCAGTTGGAGAACCTCTGGGTTAGAATAAAACTGAGGCTCTGATAAAGGACTACTCAGGAAACCTATTCGGTACAATTTATTCTATCAAAACTGAGGGTGAAGGACTTGTGGCTAATGTACACAACTTGGCGTTAGAAGATCTGGGTTCCATTTCCACATCTTCCATTGCCTTCCTGTGTGACCTTCAGCAAATCGGTTAGGCTCTCAGTGCCTTAATTTCCCTGTTTATACACAGGGATAATAAAATTCCCCTATCTCTCAGGAGTGCTGTGACGCTTAACTACCTTACATATATTCATGACTTTAGTTCCTCAGAGACAAAAGCTCTGGATAAATGCTAAGTATTGTAATAAATGGTTTGTTGATTGTCTCACAAAACTTGTGCCCCAAACCTATTTTATGGTTTTTAAGAATTTGAAATATTAATATCTGTACTGGCTTTGTTCCTTCTTTCAGTGTGCAAACTTGCAAGAAACAATTTTGACAGTGGTTTCTTTAATCTGTTTTCTGAACTACATTGACTTTTTTCCACATGTTCCTAGCAGGCTGGTGTTAGGACCCAGAAAGGAGACAGCAGCAACATGATATAAATAGAGTACGAGAATGGGACAAAGTTTGAGAAGAAAGCATGACATCACTCAGACTTTCTCTCCACCCAAAGAGATCTTGGATGAAGGTGCAAACGTGAGTCAGACAAGCAAGAAGTTAGCAACTCATTTCAATCCACTTCCTAAGGAAATAGTGGGAGTTTGTCCGATGTACAATAAAGAGGTATTTTTTTAATTGAAGAACCAAAACTGACTTCGGATCTTTGACAAAGTGAAAACAGTTGAAAGTAAAAGACAACGATAGAAAGCAAAAGTTGAAAAATAAGATCTCTCTTTTTTTGGCACCAATTGCAGCAGAATTATATGCATTTTTTCCCGTGGAACTGTACATTTTTGCAACTAATATATTTCATCTTATAATTTTGCTCCAATCATAGTAATATATTCATGAATAACAAAAGGAATCCAAGTTTGAAGGAGGCAAATATTTCTGAAGGATCTGGAAGCATATTTTACTGTCACTGAAGGAATGGACATCTTGACCCTGTGTGGAAAATGCCCCTTTTAAAAGAAAACAAAGTGGCAAAAGAAAATTTGTGTTTGTGATTGAAATCTCACAGGAATTTGGTCTCAGTTGCACTTTTAACCTCACAAAGACCATGAACAATTTGTTGTCTCTGCTCTGTCATTATTCCTTGCTGATTCTATTTCAATCTAAATATCAGGTAATATTCTGAACATGATTAACATTAAAATTTACTTGGATTTCCTTTTATCGATATGTTTACTTCACAATGTCTTGTTTTATGTGCAGGTGTATGGAAACAATTCACGGCTATCCAAAAACCCAGGTAAGGAATTTTTTGTTTTATCATTATTATTACTACCATCTTGTGCTTAATTGTTACAGTATGTTTACTAAAACTTTTGCTTTCTGGTATGCACATCTCATTTTCTTTGTGGTTCCAAGGGAACAGCCACCATACATGCATATATAAGGACGATACTAAAAATATAATGTAGGGCAATCAGTCTAGAATACTAGACAACCTTAATCTATTACAATTGCAGTTCTCGGTACACTGACATTCTGCATAAACAAGTACAAAAAGAAATGCTGCTTGCATTTACATGCAGTAGTTTGCAAACCATTGTGTTTTGAGAATCTGTTTACAACTTTATTTATTTATTTTTTTACCTTGAGCTGCTCTTTGACGGTCTGCATTAGCATGCAGCACTTCAAATTCGCTGACTTACAGCTAGAGATGCCAGTTTGTAAACTTTACGGTGTATTTGCATAGCTTCAGTCTTTTTTTTTTAAAAAAAAGCCTTTTACGATTTAAATGTAATTTGCTCAGGACTGAACTTAAGCATGTTTTTCTTCTGAGCTCCAGTCATCTGTTTTCAATGCAAAAATCACTCAGACTTACTTTGTGTGTCTGTAACTGGAAAGATCTTCCGTTCACACAAATAGTTTAACCTCATGGTGGTGTACAAGTACAATCTTACTCTTTAACCAATCCACATACTGCCTTGTGTTTTTAATTCCTACCCATGTGTATTTACTTTCAAAATAAAATCCTGTTTATAGCAGCAAAAGCTCTATGGTGCTATTGCAATACATCTGTCCCACCCCTGCCTTGTTATCTCATTCGTAATTACAGTATACCTGAACTATTGCCCTTGCTCCTGCGAGTTTCTTTTGTTTCTCCTTCATCTAGCAAATGTTAACGCATGGTCTCAATTCCCACAGATAAGGCTGGTCAACCTTTAGCTGGTGAAGCAATATAAGAAACATAGGTTTTAGTTCAACTTTATATATTGGGCAACCCGGTTATAGAACAGTTACAATTTTGTTGTACGGAAACCTAGTATGGGGGTGTAGCATCACCCGAATCCCTAAATTATGCTCTGGCTTCAAGATTAGGCTAGATAAGTTTATGGAGGGAATGGTTTGATGGGATTACGTGATTCTAATCAATTAGGCAATAACGGCCATCGCTGGTAAAATGAGGGTCTGGCTAGAGAATCTTGCCTGTATGCTCGGGGTTCTGCTGATCGCCATATTTGGGGTCGGGAAGGAATTTTCCTCCAAGGTAGATTGGCAGTGGCCCTGGAGGTTTTTCGCCTTCCTCCGCAGCATAGGGCAGGGGTCGCAAGCTGGAAGATTCTCTGCGACTTGAAGTCTTTAGATCACGATCTGGAGACTTCAACAGCAGAGTTAAGGGTAAGTGGGGGGGTCAGCTTTTGTGGCCTGCATCATGCGGGGGGTCAGACTAGATGACCATATTGGTCCCTTCTGACCTTAAAGTCTATGAGTCTATGGATTTGAACTATGTTGTAATTTGGTCTTCTGGCTTGGTTCTATGTGTAGCATAGACAATTCCTTAATGATTGTTACAAAACAAAAGGGAAATCAAGGGAGCAGGTATAGAAGTGGTTTTCCACCTGTTGTTGTTAGAGCCCCCTCAGGATGGATTGGTCATTAGCTGGAGTGGCGGTGCGGTTTAATGCATAAGATGCTGGACTGGGAATCGGAAGGATCTGCATTCTAGTCCTGGCTCTGCCACCGGTCTATTGTCTGATGCTAGGTAGGTTGTTTCCCCTCCCTAGCTTTGTCTGTTAGGGCTGTAGGCTTTTTGGGTAGGGACTCTCCCGATGCATTTGTAGAACGTCTTGCATAATGGGGCTCTGCTCTCAGTTGGGGCCTCTAGGTGCTAGTGTAATATAGCTAATGATAATGAAGTGCCGTGTTGTGATGCAGTTAGTTATTGCTATCTTCGTTTTCTCTCTGGCTTTTTTGTTTTTCTCTGACTACTCGCTGGTAGCTCGGAATCCCTTTTCTCATTCCTCACTCATTTGAAAATTAGATGCTACTGGGAGTGGGAGATATCTGCACAGAGGAGCATCGCAAACCAGTGTGCACGCTTTGTGCTTTGCCCAGTTTGCTGTCACAAAGAGATAGAGTTGCTTGCTTTCCATGAAGTCTGATAGAAAAATTGGATCAACGTCATCTGCCCATGTGGATTCTCCTGGTGCCGTGGAAAGCTGCTGCCCTCATTTCCTCTGGAGGGTGCCAGTGTATGCTCTTGGAAGACAGAACTAGGGCACATGCCAAAGCTTCAGGGACCCAAAGGAAAATAAGCCCCCTCCTAATCCTATATCTCATTCCCTCGGCATTCTTTTCACACCTAAACTCCCAGGGGGAGCAGGAGCTTTGGTTGGTTGTTCAGGAAATTAGATCAGATTACAAGTGTGTGTGAGTGTCTCTCTCTTGTGATTTATCTTCCTATTTAAACACTTTCTCTCTCTCCCAGCTAGGGCTGGCCATAGGTTTTGCAAGTATGCAAAGTAACATGTGGCACCATTTCACCTCATCGATGCCTGTATCACTGTGTACCAGTGACATGCTCTCTCATGCTGTAGTTTCTTTTGAGAGAGGTTCTCTGACCACTGCAAATGTTTCTAGGCAAGAAGGGCAGCTGGGGATTCCAGTCCCTTGTATGGATCAATGGTGTTAGACAACACTATGGATGGTTAAACAGGCTAGTAGTTGGGCTGGCAGGTTAGGTTTGAAGCAGGGCTGCAGCAAATGCAGCTGCCTTAGTTCCACAGGCCTAAATTTACTACTTCTGCTTCTCACACAACCCTCTCCCTGTCTGCTGTGGTGTTTAGCAATCACATCAGCCCCATTCCCTAATCCAAAAAACTAGCACCAAATTCAATTGAAAACACAACTGAAAAAACAGTAAAAAATGTAACCTCTGTAAATGCTGGATTTGTAATGTCTTCCCCCACCCCACAAAAAAAGCATAAACAGATTAATCTATGCCACTCAGGGCTTTGGAGCGGAGCCCGGAGCTGGAGCGCGGAGCAGCTCCGGAGCAGTGGAGCTGCAGGTTTTTGCCTGGAGCTGGAGCACAGCTCCAAAGCCCGGATGCCAATAGAATGATTTCCCACCATGATGAACAAAAGAACCAATGCTCGTTTGCAATAGCAAGAGGGTTTTACTATATGACTCTCTCATTCTCCTACAACTTTCACTGCTCTGGTTGGTTACACATTCTTTCCAGCACAGCTCGCTAAATTAGTTATTCTAGGAATAAAAAAGCTTCTTACAAATAATAAGATAACATAAAATACAATCTGTGTTTGCCTTTATTATTAATGCTAGACCCTTAAAATAAAGCATTACCTTAACACACCACTTAATTGCTCTGGGAAGTCTGCTTCTGCTCCAGCTTGAGAACTCTCATCTCCCTAAAGTGTTCTCTAGTTGACATCAATTAGATTCTCTAGATAAGTCTGCCACTGGGAAATGGGAACCATCAGATGTTCTGCTTTTGTCAACTTGTCCACCTGGAGCTCAGTGTAACCATCTGCAACTGAAGAAGATGTTTAGGGAAACAAAATGTTCCTATTAGCCATAAGATTTATTTTTCACTTTTTGGGGAAAAGAAGGTTCTGAAGAAATAGCAGCTGCTGCATACAGAGCACTTAACTCTTTTCCGATGCCACTAAATATTCTGGGACCCAGTCCAGAAAACTCCTTCCAGTGAAGTGTGTGGTTCTGACACCTTAACCTGTGCACCCTTCCAAAATCCCCATGGCATGTCCCTTGCCTATAGTTCTGCTGCTGGGTTCCACCTCCCTAGCTTGCCCCAAAACCTGGACAACATGGCCCCTGCAGAATCCATGCTTCTAGCAGTTAATTTACTGTGGTTGCTCAGCGCCCATCAGTAGAGGAAGGTCTTCACAGGATAGAGGTGAAAACAGAACAGATCAGTATAGCCTGCAGGTGTGTTAACTTGTGCTGCCTTCCCCTGTGGGTTTTGGGGATATAGGAAGAGTCTTAAGGCACTCAGCTGCCTCTTCCACATGCCCCTTGAATTCTGCAGAGCTGGAACACGTGTGGAGAGGCTCCCACAGGTGTAAGAAAAGGAGGAAGAGTGCTGTAGAAAGGAAACTGTCATTCTGCGCATTGCCCTGTATGACATTTGGGCCCTCTCTGGATATTGTCATTAAAGGGATCTAAATACTGTGGCTTAAGCTTTATGGTAATGTTAGGGGGTACATGAAATATAGAAATGTATTTGTTAAATTAAAATATTAGGACCAGATCCTCAGCTGGTATAAGTCAGAATGTGACTTCAGTACTGCCGTGCTGATTTCCACCAGCTGAGGATCAGGCCTTCTATCATTATGCAACATAGAATCAGAAATCTAGGACTGGACAGGTAATGAGGAAGTCATCTAATCCAGGACCCTATGCTGAGGCAGGACCAAGTAAACTTAGGCCATCCCAGGAAGGTGTCTGTCTAACCTGTTCTTAAAAACTTCCAATGATGGGGATTCCACAACCTCCCTTGGAAGCCAATTCCAGAGCTTAACTATCCTTATATTTAGAAAGTCTTTTCCTAAAATCTAACCTAAATCTCCCTTGCTACTGATTTAGCCTATTACTTTGCTTCCTACCATCAATGGACATGGAGGACAACTAATCACTGTCCTCCTTGTAACACCCCTTAATATATTTGAAGCCTTATCAGGTCCCTCATCAGTCTTCTTTTTCTCAAGACTAAACATGCCCAGGTTTTTTTTTAACCTTCCTTTCCTGATAGGTCAGGTTTTCTAAACTTTTTATCATTTTTGTTGCTTTTATCTGGACTCTCTCCAGTTTGTCCACAAATTTTTCCAAAAGTGTGGTGCCCAGAACTGGAGATAGTACTTCAGCGAAGGCCTCATCGGTGCAAACCATCTCCTGTGTCTGATATACAACACCCTGTTAATACCACTCAGAATGATATTAGCCTTTTTTGCAACTGCATCATACTGTTGGCTCCTGTTCAGTTTGTGATTCACTATACCCTCAGGTCCTTTTCAGTAACTGATTACTGCCTAGTCAGTTAATCTCCATTTTGTAGCTGGGCATTTGATTCCCCGCCGCTAAGTGTAGTACTTTGCCCTTGTCTTTATTGAATTTAATCTTGTTGATTTCAGACCAATCCTCCAATTTGTCAAGGTTGGTTTAAATTCTAATCCTGTCCTTCAAATGCTAGTGAATCCTCCCAGCTTGGTGTCATCCACAAATTTTATAAACCTATTCTCTACTCCATTATCCAAATCATTAACGAAAATATTGAATAGTAATAGACCCAGCACAGATCTTTATGGGACCCCATTAGATACACCTCCCCCCCAATTTGACAGCAAACTATTGATATAGTCTTTCAACCAGTTTTGCACCCACCATATAGTAATTTCATCTAGATCACAGTTCCCTGGTCTGCTTATGAGAATGTCATGCCGGACTATATCAAAAGCCTTACTAAAATCAAGATGTACAATGTCTACAAGTTCCTCCCTAGCCACTAGGCCATAGCCTGTTTCTACTGCAGTGAAAGTAGAGTAAGTACACAACGTTTTAAAACAGAGGTCCCCTGCAATGCGCTGTCAGAAATCTTGTTGCATAACACATGGCTTTAATCCCCATTGCTATTTATTTATTTTGATTTATTTCAAATGCTCGCTCCTTGTGTGCAGTGCGTAGTTTACATAAAATGTTTTATTTTGCCTAACCGTTTGATCCCGCTCTTTTTCTGGTTTCTACATTGAAGCATCTGCGGAGACTTGTTTTCCTGTGTTTCTGACCTTTTAAAATCTGTGTTTCCTTGAAAGGGTTTGAAGTTTTACAGACAGCGTCCCACTACTGGCCCCTGGAAGATATGGATGGAATCCATGAGTTTCGGGATACAAATGGAGGTAGAAGCAGGACTCGTGACAATGACAGTAACATAAGTATTTGTGAGAGTCAGTAAGTAGCAAGGGAGCTGGAGATATGAAAGCTAAATAGGTTAGAGCTAAAGCCATGGCAGCTGAGATCTACTTATTCGTCAAATGTTTTGACAGTCCAAATGATTTTGCATTTCAAAGCTGTGATTTTTTTTCCAAAGTATTCTCAGACATTTTATGAGTAGCCTACACATTTTTACGGTTATGAAGAGAAATTATTGTGTGTTCCAAAGTGTCATTAAAATCATATTATTGTCAGTTGCTTTGGTATATACTTGCCCATGCACAAATACATAGAATGGGCAGGATTTTCACTAGTCCATAAGGAGTTAGGTGTCTAACTCTTATTGATTTTACAATAAGGCCCTGTAAGCCCTGGGCTAGATTTACAAAGGGACTTAGGTGTTGTGAAAGCTAACCTGAAATGCAGCTCTTAAATAATAATAATAATAATTAATAAGAGCAAGAAATACACAGTTGAGGCTAGGAAGTGCTCTTTTTCAAAAGGAACAATAACTGCTGAAATTCAGAAGCCATTTCAAGCATATATTCGAATAGTTCAATTTATAGGGCCTGATCTTGCTCACACTTGCTCACATGAGCATTTCTATTGCAATCAGTGGGATGACCTATATGAATAAGGATTATTCATGTGAGTGAAGGTTTCTAGGATTGGACCACAGTATGTTTTCTGGAAGGATGCCAAAAACACCTGAAAATGTTTTGTTCTTTTTGTGTGTGTGTGTGTGTTTTTTTTAATGTTGAATTCTTTCCATAATGTTGTTGTAGATAATCCATTTTCTTAGTTTGCAGTTGCTTTTATTCTATCCTCCAATACGTGCATATAATTCCCATTGACTTCAATGGGAGTTGCATGCCTGCGTCTGAAGGCTGACTCTGAGACACAAGAAAGGTTTTCTTTATTGCTGTATTCTACTGCAGGTGACCATTTTCCTGCTTTTTGATACCACTCTATGATTACGCAACTCTTTTATTCATTGCTAGAGTCTCTCACATTATTTTTTCCACTTGTAATTTCATGCAGTTGTTTTCATCCCATGTCTCGTCTCATAAAACCTTGGAGCATCATAATCTTGTCCTTCATGTTAATCCATTTTATTTGTTGAAGTCATTGTGTGGCTGGAATCCAGTTTCATACCTCTCAACAGCTCACTGTTGTGGGAGTCAGTATCACCAAATTAGGTTATTTTTGTGCACTTTCCATACTGACTGGCTGTTATCTCAGGTCTATAGTGGTAATATCCTAATGGCAGAACTGACTGAGGAAATTAAAGGGACATCACTGATTTGGAATCTAGTGAATTAAAAAAAATATAAAGGGTTTAAAGGTATTTTCAGGTCCTACATCTGAACCTTTGTCCCCCTGCTAACTTTTTTCCTGCAGTTTTACCTTGATATTTTTTCTATTTTTTCTCTTCTTTTGCTATATGAAATACTCCACTGATTTTGGGACTGATTCAAAGTCAACAAATGTCTTTCCATTGATTTCAATGGGCTTTGAATCAAGTCTTAACTGTCTATTCAGGACAAACAGTGAAAATGACTGCATACAAAATGCTGTCAAATGTACAAAATAAGCAAATCAAAACAATAGAAATGTGTTTTTCTGTAATAACTTATAATTTAGGGCTCTTAACATTATATAGGTAAAATATCTGCAGACCAAAATATGATTTTTTTTTTTGTAAATTGATGCTGTCGTTTTGAAGTTACTGATAATGCCATGTTAGTTTCCCTTAGGCTTGGTCTACACACAGATTTTGTACCAGAATAACTATGTTGGTTTAAGGGGATGACTATTTTTTTTTAAACTGGTATATTTATACCAATACATCCCCTAGTGTGGATGCAGTTATAATTTATTTCCCTTCCCCTAAGGGAATAGCTACACTGGTGTAAAACATACAACTGTGTCCACACTGGGGGCAGTTATACCACTTTAACTATACTATCGTTAAAGTGGAACACCCTTTATGTGTAGACAAGCCCTTTGAGGAAAAAAAGAGATGGAGGGAGGCTAGAATGTTATAGTTTAAAGGGCCACTGAGTAATATTTGATCTATGCTGTGTTGAGAGATATGGACTGGACAATTCATATTGATTTTGTGTTTATTCATTGTTTTGCTTATTTTCTTTTGTTGTTCCACCCAGCTCTAAGAATCCACAACTTCACTGTGCTTCCTTCCCATAATTCTACCTTTGTATATACCAATGACTCTGCCTACTCTAACTTCTCTGCAACCGTAGGTGAGGATTCAAGTATTTTTGTTCTGCATTTGTCAAATTTGGACTAGTCTGATAATGTTGGGTTTGAAGTTAACACTGTTTGGTTCATTCTTAAACGATCCTCTGGAGTTTATGGGACAAATTCTGTTCTCAGTTACGCTGGCATAAATCTGGAAAAACTGCTGTGATGTTATTTATTAACTCTGGATTTACACTGTAAGCAAGCAGAATTTGGCTTGGCTATGTACTGATCATGCAGTTCTTACTCATCTGGGTGGTTCCATTGGCTTCAATGGAACTACTCACATGACTAAGGAGAGCAGGGTTTGTCCTTAAAAGCCCAAAAAAACCCAAAACATTTGAGATGAATTGTAAACACAGGCACTGAAAAAAAAATCAATTGGCATGAAGTTTCAATATAATTTGAACTGTCTGTTTAAAGGAGTTAAAAGAACTCTGTTCTTTATAAACTCTGTTTATAAAGTTAAAAGAAAAAAGAGCTGTTTTTCTTCAATCTGTAGCCTTTAAAGTAAAGTGTTAAAAAAGAGAAACTTCAAACAATTCTGGAGGATGCAAGGGAAAATGGGAGCTACCCATCATGACATTTTTGATTAAAATAATAGAAAAAACAGGTGGAAGACATGCAGGTGTGTGTGGTGTGTTGTGGTTTTTTTTTTAATGAAAACTGTTTTACGTTTACATCAGCCAATAGATCAAAGGGAGAATAAGCTGAGTGGAAAATGATGACTACCCCGGCAGGCACTTTCAATAAAAACTTACTGGGTCAGAATCTTTGCTCACTTGCACCAGTATAAACCTGGAGTCACTTCACTGAATTCAGGATGGTTGCTCTAAATTTATATGAATGTAACTGCAGTTAGAATCTGACCAGCTACCTACCTCATAATTAGGTATCAATTTACAGCTGGTTGTTAGAAAAACATAAGTGAGCAATGAGATGATGAAGGCAGCATAGGTTTAAGTAGATGCCAGTTGAGCAGCTTGAATGTAAGAGGGTTAGCATTGAAAGCAAAAGGACTCCTGTACTGTAGTTTTCTACTCTCTAACAGCAGGAGTGGGCTGGCAACTCTGAACTCTATTAATAATGAACTTCAAATGACCCTGATTCCTTCCAGTCTTCACTGATCTGCTTTATAGTTGTCACACAATAAGATATATTCCATCTGAGCATTAAAGAGAGTGACACCGATGCCAAAGGAAATACTATGAAAACAGGAATGTGTAGCTCTTTGGGATTTATCCTGGCTAGGTTAATTCAGAGGTTATGCCGCTCATAGAGAATTCGCTTCACTTCGTAAAGCTAAAGCCTTAGAAGGATTTAAAGGAGTCAAGTGGTAGCTGGAGTTTAGAGGGTGATCTAGATTTTTTTTTCTTTGCCCCTAAGGAAGAGAAGATATCTGGAGACTGTATGTTTTATGGACAGTAGATTTTGGGTGAATCAAGAAATGTTTTGGGCCAGATTCACTGAAGGTGTCCTTTACACCTCCCTATACCAGCCTGTCCTCTTTGCCCCAGAGTGGGGAACAGGTTACTTGGCTGCTGGCTGCCCCCCGTCATGGTTCCAACTGAATATGGACAGCTTTACGATTAGGCTCAAGAGACACAATATCCTCCAGTCACCGGGGGAAGGCATATGTTGCACCATCTTTAGGGTGATAAAGACCATTCCCTATAGCATACCTAGCCATCTCGCTGGATAAATGTAGAGGGAAATGGGGCCATAGCCCTGCCTCTACATCTTTGGGGTGATTCGGGGGTGCCAAAGGGTCAAGTCTCTGCATTCTCCTTGTACATGGACTGTTATTGAGTTGGACCCAAGAACAGAGGGCACATATAGAAAAGGCTCCTTATGCCCTGGTCCTTTACCATGCATCTGTGCTAGGGCCATACACAATCTTTCCTTATCTCTGCCATTACATCCTGGTGATTGCAGATACAGAAGCCTTAGCCAGGGCTATGGTTGGTATCTCCCAGCTGGAACAACACCATATGACTCTTCCCACTGCCTGTCCATAGGACGCCACTGTGATGGGTTGGATCACAGAAACCCCCTTGGGAGCTGCCACCTGATGTACAAAGACTACCTCTGCTCCTGTTTTTCCTGCCAGCTCAGGACTCCAGCACCCTGTCTTGCTGAGCCAGAACTCCCGTCTGCTCCAACACAGACCCAGGGTCTGAATCACTTGTCCCAGAGCTGCAAGTTTACCCGAAAACAGCTCACAGAAGTGTGCTTGTCTGTAGCACTCAGATGCCCAACTCCCAATGGGGTCTAAACCCAGATAAATCCGTTTTACCGTGCATAAAGCTTATGCAGGGCAAACTCTTAAATTGTTCTCCCTCTATAACACTGATAGAGAGATATGCACAGTTGTTTGCTCCCCCAGGTGTTAATACATACTCTGAGTAAATTACTAAATAAAAAGTGATTTTATTAAATACAGACAGTAGGATTTAAGTGGTTCCAAGTAGTAACAGACAGAACAAAGTAAGTCACCAAGCAAAATAAAATAAAATGCGCAAATCTATGCCTAATCAAACTGAATACAGATAATCTCACCTTCAGAGATGCTTCAGTAAGTTTTTTCTCAGACTGGACACCTTCCAGGCCTGGGCACAATTCTTTCCCCTGGTACAGCTCTTGTTCCAGCTCAGGTGATAGCTAGGGGATTCTTCATGATGGCTCCTCTCTCCCGTTGTTCTCTTCCACCCCTTTATATATCTTTTGCATAAGGTGGGAACCCTTTGTCCCTCTGGGTTTCCACCCCCCCTCACTGGAAAAGTACCAGGTTAAAGATGGATTCCAGTTCAGGTGACATGATCACATGTCACTGCAAGACTTCATTGCCCACTTGCCAGCACACACATATACAAGAAGACTAACAGGTAAACACAGCCATCTGCAGACAATGGTCCTGGTTAATGGGAGTCATCAAGATTCCAAACCATCATTAATGGCCCACACTTTACATAATTACAATAGGCCCTCAGAGTTATGTCTTATATTTCTAGTTTTAGATACAAGAGTGGTACATTTCTACAAATAGGATGATCACACTCAGTAGATTATGAGCTTTGTAATGATACCTCAGAAGAGACCTTTTGCACGAAGCATATCCCAGTTGCATTATATTCACTTATTATCATGTTTTTATAAAACCATATAGACTGCACAACGTCACAAACCCTAATCCTGAAAGTACCTTTTTCAGAATGCAGTATTTTGGAGAAGACCTAAAACAAAGATCCTGAATTCTCTCTATTATAGATCCATGGCACTGTTTGCAAAAGTGGTGTTAACAACAGTAGTGTCCAGGACAAATTCCAAATCAGCCAATTACATTCTGCCTTCCTAAACTGCAAATAAAGAAAAATCATGTGGTATTTTGTGTCCTGCAGAATGAAGTGTTACTAAGAACTTATCTTCAGTGTTAAAAAACCTGTGTGTTTTACCTCTGGGTAACTAACATGCATGAGTATCCTGAGGTAAAAACACAGTGAAGACCAAGCACTTCAGTTCTATTGCGAGGTAAATTTGCCAAAGTCCGCCCTATACCCAGGCCTGTGATTATCTGTGGCAAGTTTACCTCATGATAAACCTAAAGTGCTGTGATTTTTACCTCGGGATAGCTCACCTTCATTAGTTAACCTGAGGTAAAAAACAGTTGTTTTTTGTTTGTTTGTTGTTTTTTATAAAGCAGTGAAGAAGACAAGCCCTAAGAAATCACAAGGAGTTACACATGTTAAATTGAAACAGAGCCTTTTTGGATGCTAATAAAAAGTCATGCCCCTGAGTGTCTCAAAAGAACATACGTACATTTCTGCCTTTTGGCTAGAGTAGGTCTAATATCTTCCTTTAATATATCCTTTTTGATCAAAAATGGTCCAAAAGCCATTTTCTAAAACAGAAATGTTTGTGGGAGGAAAAAAATAAGTTTTGTGTCAAAAATTTTCCTAGGGAGGGTGGAGAAGAATTTCCTGATTAGCTCTACTTCTGAACAATAAGCCAAAAATACCTATGAAGTGCTGCTTGTATTCAGAACTCTGGAATATGTAAACTTCACTCAGACTATTTTCAAGTAGTAATTTCTGGCCCTGCTGGTTCAGCTATACAGATGATTTAGTTGAACAGGGAATTGGGGAGGGCAGATAGATATAATTTTTATAGACTATAAATGATAAGACTGTAAGCTGTATCTTTCATTTATTTTATCCTGTAAAAGGGGGATAGAAAGATAAACATATTAAAAATGCTTGAGTCATTTGAGTCATGTCCCAAGAAGCTGTCTGCACACAAGAATGTTAAAGGACTACATTTTAATTTTCCTTCCTTAGATATTGTAGAAGGAATGGTCAACAAAGGAATTTACCTCACTGAACAAAAAAGAGTTACCTTTCTCATCTTTGGAAACTCCCAAAACTCTTGCATTAGTAATCCAGAAATGTGTGGACCTGAAGGTGAGTGCTATGCCATCATTATTACTGTTTGTTTTTATTATGCTTTAATCGTATCAGATGTCACTAGCTAAGTAGAGTTGAGCCATATCTGTACTTGGATGACAGATCATCTAGGAGCCTCAAGATACTCTGGGAACAGGTGTCAGCTATTTTTTAAATAGGCTACCTGTGATTTCTGCAAAGCATCGGATGGGTCATTGCTGATTTTACTTATTAGCTATAGTGCACTTGAGAGACAGGAATGGCATGGTGCACAAAAAGTGCAGGAGTGTTCTGATGCATATTGCGAGTTTCACTTGATTAGTTCATGTGGAGAAGCCAAGACTGAGGAAAGGCTGTCTTGATTTACTTCTTGTTAGTGACTTGCAAAGGCTAAGAGACTGGCAGATAAATGTCCTTGGAGCGTTAGGGACTGTTCTCTGAAATAGGTCTAAAAACACGGTTTCCTTCCACCACTCCCTCTTTTGTTGTTTTGCCAGACCTAAAAAACTCAAATAAACAAAAAACAAACACAAGGATTTTGCCTCCCCGGATATTGTTTAGAATTAACTTGGGTATTTTTAATAGCCTCTTTATGAATCCTCCTGAATGCCCTTTAGCTGAGCCATATCCAACAAAGACTGTGTTAGATCTCACAAGCTATGAACTGGATGTGGCCAGCTGGACTAGCATCTTGGATGGAATATCTCCAAGATGCTGCAGATAGTGGTGCTGACAATTAAAAAGGTGGCATTCTTCCCTCTGAATAAGAGTCAAATCAATATCCCAACAGGACGTTGCACAAGAGCTGGGTGAAATTTTTTGGAGAAAAATGCAGATTTGGAAACACAAATTTTGTGATTTTTGTGTCGGTTTTGCCAAATTGTTTGTGGCAAAAATGGTGTGTGTGTAGGGGGGGGAGGGGGGAGAAATCCTGTGAAGGCAAAGTGTTACATTTTTAGAAATGACTTTTTTGTTTTGAGATTTTCATTTGACTGGAAACTAATATTTTTCTGACTTCTAAGTTCACCTGAAATTTCAAAAAAATTTCAATTCAATTTGTCCCAAACCAATTTTTTCCCCATATTTATATTTTTTGGAACTTCCAATGAACCAAAAAATCAGTTATTCACAGAGATCTGTATTGCACTGCTGCAGATGACTTCTTTAGGATGAGATGTAAAAACAAGGTCATATCTACTAATGATCCCAAAACACTTTTCAAAAGAATAAGTGTGTCAGTTAATATGGACTCAGAGTGGTTAAGGGCAGGATAGCTTATACCAATTGCCAATATGTTTAATTATCTTCCCATCTAAAGTTCCCTTTCGGCTGCTTTCAATGGATTTCTTTTTTGTTTCTTGGCCCTATACAGTTGTGTTGTGTTGCTAGTGCTGCTAATGTGTACCATTAGTCAATGGAAACTTTTAACTGATTTCAGTGGGTGCAGAATAGGATCCCTACATCTCAGCCTGAAGCTGGGATTTTGCTGTCAGGGAAAGTGAAGTTATCCCTGTAACATATGTACTCGGGGCCCAATTCGGCACTTGGTTACATTGATGTAAATCCCCCTGAGCCAAGCAGGCCACTGTAGTGCAGCAGTTGCCCGGAGCAGGGAAAACTGGGTGAAATTCAGTGGCCCGTGTTATACAGGTCAGTCTAGATGATTAATGGTCCCTTCTGGCTTTAAAACCTGTGAGTCTCTGAATAAAGGGTTGTAAATAATATTTGTTGTGAATGTTGGTTTTTTTTCTATGAGCAATTATCTCTGGATAAATAGTTTCATTATCCAGAGCAACTTCACGGAAGTCTATTGCATTACTTTGGCTTTACACTGGGTAAATGAGGGTAGAAGATGGCCCATTGTTTGTAATCTGAGGTTTGTGAAAGGCCTGCTATTAAATGAACAAACAGTAGTGACGCAAAATAAACCAAAGCCAGGCTGAAACTTTGGGCCTGCTATGCTCGACAGGCCCCTTATTTTTGCATTTCAGGATAGTTCTGACCCCCGCTGTGTCCCCACCCAATACTGTGAATACCCCCATTTTAAACTCTTGCACTTCGATAAAAGGATGGATAACACAATTCCACATGGTGTCCTTAACTTGGTGCCGGTTATTGTGGGTTAGTTTTCATCCCCTGAATAACTAATCAAAATACCTCCTAGGTTTCCAGGGGAAGAATTTACCCAAGGCAGCCTTGCCTAAAATCATGCAGCCTAGGTTTGGAGTCAAATGATTTTTTTGTAATATACGGTATGTACAATATGCAAGATCAACTTCCATGGCTCATCGACACTGGAGAGGCTGCTAGAGACTTTGCCATAGCTCCAAGCCATTGGCATTCACAACCTCCTTTTTTGCTTTTTCCAGCTGTGATATAACATTTAATTTTTTTGCTTTTGTATTTGGTTATTGAATTCAAAAAACTGTCAACGGACAGCTAAAATATTTGCCAGATGTAGTTATAGGGTTGGTGGGGTGTGGTTTAAATAAATACTACACAGATTGTGGGCCCAATCCAGGCTAAAATGTCCTCTCTGCTGCCTTATCTCACTATCCACTGCTCCCTATGCTCTGCTCCCTTCTTATCTTTAGCAACACCTTTCTTTTCCTCATCTCTCCTCCCTTCCGCTTATTTTTCTCCCATGAATCCTATCTCTTCCTTTCCTCCCACCATATCACCAACCTCTTTTCATTACCCTTACCTCTACTCCAGTCCTTCCCCACACCCTCCAAATACTATAATTGGCAATGCTCATCACCCCCCCAGCAGGAAAACCCAGGAGGATGCTAAAAGGGAAGATTTCTCAGTGAGCCTTTTCCCCCACTGATATTTCTCCGCATTCATTCCATCAGGTGCAGAGGGGGTTGATTACTCCCCACAAAACAGGCTTCAGGCTCGCCCTCAGACCACATGGATCTCCAAGGATCTGCTTGGATCCCAGGGAATCAATAGGAGGCCAGGGACATTGTTCAAAGTTTCCCATGCCTCTTTCTGACAATTCTGGGTGTCCAGACGCCCTCCCCACAACAGGGTAGGGGGAAATCTTTATGCAGTGGGCTTTCTCCATGCAGGGTCTAGGGGGTATGATCCAGCCTGTAAGTTATAAATACAGGGGAGAAAAAAAGATACAGAACCATTAGGATGGTGCCTAACTAACCAAAGGAAACCACAGGATCTTTTGTGGTAACCCTTGCCCCTCCTTTCTATTTCCCTATTTCTGTTGTTTTAATTAGTAATGTTGGATGGGATTTTCAGAAGAACTTGTAATTTGGAATGTAGACATGCCCTGGGAGCTGGGTTAAGCCGGTGCTGAGCACTCTTGAAAATCCCTCCCATTATTTCTATACTCAGGGACAGATCCTATATATAGTTTATTCATGTAGTAAGTACTATATGGCTGGTAATCTGATGGAAGTACTTTGGTAGTAAGTGTTTGTGGGAGCAGGCATTGGCCTTTAGTTCGCAAGCTCTTCAGGGCACAGGAGGATGTTGTTGTTTTTTTATTGGTCTGTAAAGCACCTAGCATGCTTTGGGCCCTTCCATGTTGCCAACTTGCATGATTTTTACCATGAGTCTTGCAATGTTGGATGCTTTTCTTAAAGCCTGAGCTGCTGGAGTTGTGTGAATACAGTACATCAGAATCTCATATTTCATTATTTTTAAAAAAAATTCTAGCCTTTGAGGTTGAAGAGAAAAGCTTGAAAATGAGATTCATAAAGGATCAAACACTAGAAGGCAAATAAAAGAACCCCAAATTTTATTTAAACAAATCTCTTGATATTTTTTTTTTGAGGGTTTGGTCCTTATGATTTTTGAATACCTGTAGCTGGCAATACTACCCATATCCTTTAAATCTACAGTGTGCAGAGGTTTTATAATAGTTGCAATACATTTCAGTGCTTCCCCAATATTTAATTAAAAAAATACGCTTTGGAAAAATTATAAACAACAACAAATGGTGGTTTTCATCTTTTGGGTGTTTTCACCTGTCTGTCCATCTATTGCTTGATTGACTCCTCTCAGCATTTTTTTCCCCACTGAGAATATTTTAGAGCCCTCACAGTATGTTGATGCTGTAGAAGATTAAAATGACAAATAAAATTATGGTGCAAGTCACAAATTATCTGGTGCAATCAAGGTAATGATTTAGAGAAAAAGATTGAAAATGTAACACAAATGAACAAAACAGCTGTAAGATCGATCCCTGCAGTTTCAATTCATTTTTCATCAATGTGGAATAGTGCATGTGATTTTATGTGGTGTAACTTCTGCAGTACCCAAGCCTAATGGGTAAGTTAAGTGGCAGTGTTAATACTGAATTTACTTGCTTTTGTTAATTTAGGCCATTCTTAAGTTACTGACAAGACATGACACAAGATTTATTCAGACTGGCACGTATAGCAAATACTGTGTGTTACCACTTTTAAAAAATGGTAAAAATTCATACAACAGTCAATACTTAGTTGCTACCTGAAAATGGAAGAGTAGAGGTTATTCAGTATTCTACTGCAGGCATATTTCTTTACACAATACCATATCTTACGTATATTTTTCATACCAGTGGGAAATAAAACCATCAGTAAATCACATTATTTCTACAACTATAATATAATAATCAGAGTAAATTTTATTTTTTATGGTGCCATTCCCAGCACCTCACAAACAAGAACATTAAAACCATAAAATACTGAAATATTCTGAAGATAAAAATGTGAAGAGAAGAATCGCATAAGTAGTTAATATTGAACCACAGCAGTGGGTAAACAACCTTTTCTAAAGGAGAGGTCTTCATGCCTCCCTAAACTAAACTAAACCTCTGGCAATGGTAGGCTGTAATTTTGTCCAAAATGACATCTTTCTTAAGATACAATAAATACATCTCAGTGTGCATTGGTTACGTTTGTACGGATTTGCTTTTAAGTAGAGCTGGGTGGGAAATGGTTTTCCAATCCCATGAAAATTTTTGAGATGTCAAAATTTTTTTTCCCTATCCTGAATTCAAACACTTTTTTGAA